AAAATGGCTGCCAAAGGTCCCTAGGGGTGTGGCTTTTGCACTCCATGCAGTGGCTTCTTTGCCATGAGTGTGGCATTATCCTAAGATAAAAGATAACAAGAGTGTCCTAGTGGGAAAAAAACATCTGATTTCAGGAACTAAGGAATCTGGAAGTCCCATGATGACAAGTTTGGAACGTGAGCTGGGTCAACAAAGCAACGGTGCCGATTAAATTGTGGGCTGGACTGTTGAATGGCAAGGAGCTCGCTGTGCAGCAGATTTTCTTCCCGCATCATGCCCAAGTGCCGATCTGTCCCTTGCTTGAACGGTTGAAGCATCCGTAAACCAGAGATGTTCAGAAAGATGGATCGCCGAAACCCACTTGTAACTGCACCTCTTTGAGCTCCCGGAGAAGGTCCTCGTTGGCCAGGCTCAGCTGCGGAGAGAACATTTCTAGTTTTGTTTGCTATTCACCATGAAAGGATAGCATTTATTTGCAGCCATGCAAGTCACTACAAACGACACTATTTTATTTGCACCCCTGCATGTCACTACAAATGATACTATTTTGTTTGCACCCTGGTGAGTCACTACAAATGATACTATTTTGCACCCTTGTGCATCACTACAAATGACAGCATTTTGTTTGCACCCCTGCAGGTAACTACAATTGATACTGTTTTGTTTGCACCTCAGTGAGTCACTACAAATGATACTATTTTGTTTGCACCCCAGCAAGTAACTACAATTGATACTGTTTTGTTTGCACTTCAGTGAGTCACTACAAATGATACTATTTTGTTTGCACCCCTGCGAGTCACTACAAATGATACTATTTTGTTTGCGCCCCTGCAAGCCACTAGAAATGATACTATTTTGTTTGCACCTCTGCAAGCCACTAGAAATGATACTATTTTGTCTGCACCCTTGCAAGCCACTAAAATGATACTATTTTGTTTGCACCCCTGCAAGCCACTAAAAACTATACTATTTTGTTTGCACCTCTGCAAGTCGCTACAAATGATAGTGTTTTTTTAGCACCTCCCAGGTCAGACAAGACAGTGTTTTCCAGTCTTCAAAACGCAGGTGACAGGATTGTTGGAATGGACGGTAGAGCCATCCCGCATTTTTTTAACCAGAAGCAACCTAGACCTTCTGCGTGAGGACCGAATCCTGGTTTAAAATACGCATGGCCTCATTAACACTCCTGCAAAAACCTCATGTCCCCCCACAACTGCAACTAGTATGAGGCGGGAGAAAGCCACAAACCTTAATGGCGTATTTGTAGGACTGCTCTGCCTCCAGCTGCCTTCCGCCCTGAAAAAGAGCAATCCACAATAAAAGCTACTTGACGAGACAAAAATTGGAATTGTAAAATTCTGAAGTGGCTCAATTATATAGTTTTTTAAAATCAAAACAGACGGTGAAGAGAGGCCCCGCCTGAGATCAAGTGGATTGTCAGCTTCGGAAGGACGAGGAGGACAATGAGAAGGGACGTTGCCGGAGTTTGTTTGACTTTAAAGCCCCTTGGCCCTTTCGGTTTTACTGGAAGCATCCTTGAACCTGTCCGTTTACCCAGTAGAGCTCTGAGGGTGCGCTTCTCAGACGCGCCGAAAACATCTGAGCGCTCGTTTCCAGGACGAGCACCCTTCAATCTGTCCACGGACATCAACACACGACTGCAGAGGACGCAAAAAGGGGCCTGAATCTCTACCGGAGGAAAAGGTGAACCAGGGACTCACCGCCATGCAGACGAGAGCCAGGTAGGCCCAGACTTCAGCGTTGTTGTTGTTCAAAGCGTTGGCCTCAGAGAGGGCGTCCTCGGCCTCCACCATCTCTTTGAGCTTGAGGGGGAAGGAGAAATAGACGAGCGAACAGGCGAACGTCCCGCAAAGCATTTCATAGCCCACCAGGAAGCCCAGCCTCCTAGAATCCCCCATGTATTCCTAGGAGAAAGGGCTTCAGCCCGTGGGAGGAGAGGAGAGGAAACTCTGCACATGTTCAGAAGCCAGTACCAAGCCTTGCCTTATGATGGCTCCACCCACTTTCTGAAAAGCTCAGCAGGCACCACGGGGAGCACGGGCGAGCGCCACGTGGCATCATGTTAGGGAACCCTGTTGTAGGCCGAAGTATTTAGAACGGCGAGTCTCTGAGAACTTCTCTGTCCCACGTCCAGTGGGATCTCAGACTGGACAACTGATAAGTGTTGCCCATTGTGCAGAGCGCAGCAAATAAATGTCAACCCCACCTCTACGGACGCAGCCCGTTTCCTCCTGCAAATGTTGGGGGAGGGCCAATCAGGCAACCTTTCCACACTCTGCTTTTAATACATTTTTGCCGCAGTGTCTTCCAGGTAACTCTGCCCTAAAACCAAGTTCAATCTTCTTTTTAATCCAGGGTCCCCCCCCCCCAGTTCTGCACTAAAACCGAATTCAACCTTCTTTTTATTCTGGCCCTTTCCCCTCCGTTCGGCATTTTGTTACCTCCCGTCAGCAATCAGCCCAGTTTCAGCCTGCTGTTGCCCTGGGTTTGTTGGATGCTGCTTTGCCATGGACTTAAATCACCTCGACTCTGAACACTGAGAAAATCTGGAGTGGCAGGCAAATGCAGAAAGAACGACTTACCCTGTAGCAGGCGATTCCCACTCCAAGCCAGGTCAGGCAGGACGGGGATTTCTTACTTGCCAGCAGGAAGATATACTTTGCCTTGTCGCACTGCCAAAAGAGGAATGAAGGTGTTGTTTCCCGGGCTGTTAGGGTGAGTGGAGAGAGAGCGAGGCTAACAAGGGATGCAGGCAAACGTTTCCAGTTGTCAGCAGGGGCCATTTCGTAGAAAAAGAGGTGCAGGAGCTCATTAGCATAACTCATTAGCATAACTTATTTGCATATGCCACACCCCCTGACATCACCGGAAGTGTGTCAGAAGGCAACGCCCACCGCTCAGGCTCCACTGGACTGTTTTGGATTGCTAGCTATGGGGGGGGACGTGCAGATCTGTCCTCGCAGAGGAGGGAGAGCTTGTACCTGAATAAACCTTGGTCTTAAAGGTACCACTGGTCTGTTTTGGACTGGAAAACAGCGAGCTGCACACACGCTGCCCCGAGCAGGCCAAAAACGCACAAAGGAGAAAGGGAGATGTTTCCGCCACCCCCACCTCCTTATTTTCCAGATAGATGGATCCCAGCCGCAGGTACACGAAATGCATGTCGGACGCATCGTCGACGAAACTGACGGTCCGCTCGTAGCATTCCTTGGCTTCGCCGAACTTCTTGGTCAGGTAGCAGAGGTGCCCTTTCTGGGCCCAAACATCTGGATTCTGCGCGGGCCAGAGGGGCAGAAAAAAAGGAGGGAGATGAGCCTCAAAAGGATTTGCCTGACAGGGAAGCTGAGGCGATGGATATGGGCTGGAGGGGACCGTTGCGTGGATCACCATAGCTAGGTCGCGGGGGGAAAGGTGGGGGGCTAGTTGCCCCCCAAAAAAAGGCTAGGGCACCTTTCAGAGGCGCCTTCCTCGACCTGCGGGAGGGGAACGCGGGTGATACTTGCCAAGTAGTTGATCCGGACCGCCTGTTCGAGGCATTCCTCGGCCTTGTCGTAGTCCTTCTTCAGCAGGTAGGTCTGGGCCAGAGCCAGGTAATACTCACAGCTGGGGCCGCCTTGTGGGCTGACCAGCTCATGCGCCAGCGCCCTGTGGACAAACTGATGAGAGAAACCAGGTCCTGGCAGCTGTGACATGGCAAGCCAACGCTCACAGTGGAGCCGCCGTGCCTCAGGTTCAGTCGTTGACACTGCAGGGCAGGCCCTTCCACGCTGCCAGTTTGGGTGTAGTGATTAGGAGCGCAGACTCTAATCTGGGAGAACCAGGTTTAATTCCCCACTCCTCCACTTGCAGCTGTTGGTGTGACCTTGGGTCAGTCACAAGCTCTCTCAGAGCTGTTCTCTCAACGGCAGGTCTCTCCCCCTGTCCTACCACTACTCCACTCTGACTCTTAATTAAAGACAATTGAAGCCAAATCACAAATCGACTGATAACCTGCCTCGTTCAGTAATTGGCTGAATTACATGCCATTGACCTTCTATTACTGGTGACGTTTTGAGATGATAAAGGACGCATAAGCCAAGTGTACCATTTAATCGAGAAAATCAGCTACCTATTTCCTTTCGCGTTTCCTCTTTTAAAAACACATCCCAACCAGAACATTAGCAAAAATAAACACGTGACTCTGTTTTGCAGCCCCAGAAACTAGATCTGCCCCAGCTCCCCACGGTCAGTTGACAAATCTGATCAAATAGCTCACGGCCCTGTTATCCGGGCAATGATCTTTCACATCCCACGGCCGCTCCACTGCAACCCTGGTGTGGATCCCATGCTCACCTGGAGGGCATTGACATCCATCAAGAAGCGGATCGTCTCCCTGAAGATGGAGACGGGGGCCGGGGCCGGATAGGGCAGGCCACTCTCCGTATCCGGGACAACCACCGGCATCTTGACAGGTTCTGAAACAAAGCAGACAAAATGTAATTGTTTCTCCACTGATCGGGTGCTTCCCAACATCAAACAAGAGGGAAACTGCAACCAAGGAATCAGAGAGAGACCGAGAAAGTCACCATGAAGGAGCTAGAAAAGATCCTGAAGCGTAAGGATGTGTCACTGGAGACCGAGATCGAGATAATTCATACAACAGTATTCCCCACGGCTATGGAAGGGTGTGGAAGTTGGGCAATGAAGAAAGCCAGGAGGACGAAAGTTGATTTGTTTGAAATGTGGTCTCAGGGGAGAGTTTTACAGATACCGTGGACCAACAAAAAGACAAATAAGTGGGTTCTGGATCAGGATCAGGTCAAGCCTGAACTTTCCCTAGAAGCTAAAAGGACTAAACGGTCCTATTGTACTTTGGTCACATCGTCTGAAGAAGTGAGCAGTGACTCAAGAAAGCTCATCCCATGCCACACATGGACTCTTGCTCTTGCTTTTTTCTACTATTTGATTTGAGGAAGAGGCCATGTTTGGTTTCAGCTTTTTAAGAACACCGGAAGGGTCTTGCTGGATCCGATTAGTGAGGGTCTATCTAATCCAGGATCCTGTCTCACACAGTGGCCGGGCAGTTCCTCTGGAAGTCCAACAACAGGGAAGGAGGAAGAGGAGGAGTTGGATTTATACCCCGCCCTTCACTCGGCGTCTCAGAGCAGCTAACAATCTCCTTCCTTTCCTCTCCCCACAACAGACACCTTGTGAGGTACGTGGGGCTGAGAGAGCTCTTTCGAGCTCATGAGAATCAGATTCTCTGCCTTACAGGCCTTGCGGAATTGCATAAGATCCCGCAGGGCCCTGATGTTATTCGGAAGAGAGTTCCACCAAGTTGGGGCCAGAGCTGAAAAGGCCCTGGCCCCGCTTGAGGACAGCCGGATATCTCTATGGCCGGATATCTCTAGGGCAGTTCTTATTTTCTTCTAAGCTAGTAAGTGACTCTGTGTAACTTTGTAGTCTGACAAGCATACACTGAACAAAGGAGCTCTGCTGCATTCGGAGCTTTAGTGCACTCTGCAAAATTTAGGAAGCGATCTGGACTAACACACCAGCTCTCCCAATAGCAGGAACTATCCGCCCCGCCCCCAACACACACAAGCTTGCTGTCTCCCTTCTGTACCTCTCAAAGAAGGCACCCTGAGTTTGCTGGGAGCCACGGAAAGCCTCTTGGAGACCTTGGCTATGGCCCCTTCCTCTTCCGGCCGACGGATGGTGACGGTCGGCTCTGCCGAGTCCGAGCGGAATCTCGAGGGGACTTCCGGAGCATCTTCGGAAACTGAATCCAAAAAGAAACCGGTGTGAATGTCGGTTCGATGGGAACAAGCATCTGAACACATATATGGGCCACATCGTTTGCCGCCTGGGGGAGCCACGCTGAGATCACACCACCCTCCCCCGTCTGAATCCAGTTTTAATTAAGCCAAATAAAGACCGGCTGGACCACCAGAAAGTCGGAAGGAATCGACATCATTGGGGCTGGAGGGGCAGAATACGGCTAGCGGATCTTCCCCCTCACCTTTACGCTCAGATAATCAACATCTCCTGGTGGTCCCTGGCCCAAAGGACACTCGTCTAGCCTCGACCAGGGCCAGGGCCTTCTCTGCCCTGGCCCCCACCTGGTGGAACATGCTCCCCATCGAGATCAGGGCCCTGCGGGATCTTACTCAGTTCTGCAGGGCCCGCAAGATGGAGCTGTTCCGCCGGGCTTTGGGTTGAGGCGGCAGGCGTCCACATATGGCCTCCCCGAGGTTGCCGTCTCCCACCGGCCGTCTCCCACCTGCCATCCATCCAAAACGTCGGCAACCGGCCACGTCCATCGGTATTAATGGGTCGGAACTTCCACCAGCAGCTATGACCACTGTTTTTAAATGTTTATACTGTACTTTTTAAACTTTACTGTAATTGTTGAAGGATGATGTGACCCGCCCTGAGCCCGCTCGTGGGATGGGCGGGATACAAATATGAAAAATAAATAAATGTAAGCGGGAGGTTCTTTTTTTTAAAAAAGGGATTCTACAAGGGTGGTGGGAAGAGGCCTAGAAGACTTCTGATGCGGGCGGGTTACTTACAATGATACCCTGGGACTGGTCTGTGGTACCCAACCTCCAGGTGGTTATACAAACATGAGAACACGGGATAGGTTGTAAGTAAACAAAAAGCAACCGTGGTGTTATTATGTGATCGATTCAACAATTATGATCAAGCATTTCTATTACGGTACAAATTACAAAGCACATTCCAATACAAAATATGGAAATATTTTTACAAATTATTATTTTCTCTTAAGAGGATGGGATACAGAAGGAAAAAAGGGGTAGGGGAGAAATATCAATTCATCAAATTTGTAAAGTATTATGAATTTTTACGTACACGTAAAATCAGATGTATTACCGAATGTATTACATATTTCAAATATAAGAGTAAACTTGAATTTTACGGAATTACAGCATTTGGGATAGATTCTCTCTTTAATAGACAAGAACTTTCCTAAGGTTAACGATAATCTATTAACAATAGAGGAAATTATATCTTTAACAATTCAACAGACCTCTATACTAAAATTAAATCATTGTAAAAACCTTGTTATTGCTTTAATAGTGTATCTAAACCTAAATTTTATTCTTACTAATTATTTAATTACTAGCGGAGTATAGAATAACGTATTGAAACTATAATCAATATCTTCATCGCTTTTAATATATTATATGCAAATGTTTAAAGTGTCCTTGTGAACCAAATGGTCCGTGCTCAAAGTTCCTCTGAATAATACAGCTCAAAGGACTGTGTTAAGCTACTTTGAGCTGTATTATTCAGAGGAACTTTGAGCACGGGCCGTTTGGTTCACAAGGACACTTTAAATAATTGCATATCTTGTATTGGAATGTGTTTTGCAGTTTGTACCGTAATATAAATGTTCGATAATAATGACTGAATAGCTCGCATAATAATATCACGGTTGTTTTTTGTTTACTTACAATCTCCGGGTGGTAGCTGGAGACCTCCCGGAATTACGGTTCATTTCCAGAGTACAGAGATCACTTCCATAGGAGAAAACGGCTGCTTTGGACCGTAGACTCCTCTATAGCATTATACCCCGCTGAGGCCTGTCCTTCCCCAAACCCTCCCCTTTTGAGGCTCCACCCCCAGATCCCTGGGAATTTCCCAACCCAACGAATCTCCGGACTGCAGAGATCAGCTCCCCTGCAGAAAATGGCTACTTTGGAGTGTAGACTCCATAGCATTATACCCCACTAAAGTCCCTCCTCGGGCTCCATCCCTAAATCTCCAGGAATTTCAAAACTGGGAGCTGGCAACACTAGACTAGTCTTCTTAGTATAATGTATTTTGCTTGCTGTGAACGTCAAGCCTTTTGCGGGAAATGGGAGGATTTTTCTGGTTACGTTGCGGCTACTTCGCCGGCTTCTCGTTCGTCATGTTTTCGGCTTACTCAGCTCTTCCTTGGAAAAGGCAACGGACTGCGTTTGCGGGAAGGGGGAGGTGGAGGGCAGCTGCCGGCCTCCGGCCTCAATGCCCTCTGTCAACGATTTCTCCTTGGCCAGCCGGGCCTTCAGGAGTTTGGTCGCTTTCCGGAACGCCATCTCCACGCGGATGTCGTTCTCCTGGATATCGTAGAACAGGCCTGCAGAGGGGAAGCTTTATTTACAAACCCGCAATTAGGGCCATAGCCCCAAAAGGAGTGCAGGTGCAAATACCTCTGGCGCATGAGCGTCACACGGGACACAAATAAGCCTGTGGAATTATTACACTAGCTTTGACTACCTTGTCAACCATCAACATGATCAATGTGTCCTATAACCTGGCCCGTAGCTACGGTGGGGCTACTGGGGGGCTCCGCCCCCTTTCTTAAAGGGCCCCCACTTCTAAAAGGTTCCCCCCTTCTTCCCAAAAGGATACCTTTAAATGCTTTTGAGAAGAAGTGGGAGGGCGGCACGCGCCCCTCTCCCTCCCCTCCTGCAAGATTTAAACAGTCCTGCAGCTGACTGGCAGGGAGGTCGTGGCCCGCTGATCAGCTGGAGGGCCCTTTAAATCTTGCAGGGGGGAGGGAGAGAGGTGTACGCCACCCCCTCGCTTCTTCTCAAAAGCACTTAAAGGATCCTTTTGGGCAGAAGTGGGGAGGGGGACTATGTGCGTGCACTCCAAGCTGCAAGTAATGGCAGCCCCACCAGAAGAAGTAGGAAGAGGAGAGAAGAGCTTGGATTTATACCCCACCCTTCACTCGGAGTCTCAGAGCAGCTTACAAATTCATTTCCCTTCCCCTCCCCACAACAGACACCCTGTGAGGCAGGTGGGGCTGAGAGAGCTCTGACAGAAACTGCCCTTTCAAGGACAGCTCTTATCAGAACTATGGCTTGACCAAGGTCATCCAGCAGGTGCAAGTGGAGGAGTGGGGAATCAAACCCGGGTCTCCCAGATTAGAGTCCGTGCACTTAACCGCTACACCAAACTGGCTCTCAGAAGAATTTTTGCCCCACAAGCCACAAAACCCTGGCTACGGGCTTGCCTATAACTAAACAGGGAAGATCTGGACATATTATCATACCACTCTGCTCAAGAGATGTCTTCTTACGGCACAAGGTGATGTCCTCTGTTACAGGAGCTTCGGAAGAGGGGCACCCCATTAACAAGGTGGCCAGAGCAACACTAATTGACCCCGTACCTAAAATCGTCCAAGCCAGGACGCTGTTGGGGTCCAGACAGGTGGCGTCCTCAAAGAAGACTTCCGCGTCTTCATAATTTTCCAGCATCACCGCCATGATACCGCACATCAGCAAACTGGGAAGGTGAAACCAGAGAAGCGCGTTATGGTGATTTCTGGCTTTCCAATAAGATTGTCCAATTCCTCTTTACTCTGAGCTTTTTAAAAAAAATAAAAGGCGGTGTTGTTTAGTTTGTTAAGGCACTCGTTTAACTGGCTTTATTGATGCGCTCTGGGCTTATGCCAATAAACTCAGAATCAACTTTAAAAGGGGATTAGATAGATTCATGGGGGATAAGTCTCCCAATGGCTTACACTCACATCTGTCCTCGTGATCCCAACTGAAACCAGACCCTCGTCTACCTGAAAGCTGACTTAAAAAAACCCAAACACCTGGAAGTTATGTTCGCAGAACTCCCAGGATCATCCCAGTTCGACCCCAAGATGGAATCAGATGGATCCATCCCAAAGCGGAGAAGAAGGGTATGGAAACGTGACACATGTCCAAATGATGCGCAGGTGCAGAATTTTACCAATGCTGACAAGCACTGTGTGGCGGAGAATCCCAAAGGGCATGAATTCCTTCTGTCATGCACCCAATGTTCCGTAAGACACAGGGGCGCCGCCGAGGACCGCATGCACAGTTGCCCTGCTCGTGCGTTTCTTCTTCTTCAAAAAAGAGGGGAGCGATGCCCCCAAATTGCTAGTAAGCCTCACGTGAAGCGGCGAACGTCCCACCGTACCAACTCTTCCACCGCATGAGTACTGCGGCAACGCATCTGCCCGAAACTAGATCTTCCCGTTTAAATTCGGTAAAGAAGATTCGTTATATAAAAAACCCACTTTCTTCTCCCTTCTCCCAGATGACCCCTCGGGTACCTGGGCAGGTGGTTGTGATCCAGGGCCACGGCCTCCCGGAAGCACTCCTGAGCTTTGAGGTTGTCCTCCATCAGCAGGCAGAAGGCTCCGTAGTCGAGCCAGCTCTGGTTATCCTGCCGGTTACGGGCCAGTCTCTGGACACGGAGAGATACCGGGAGAGGAGTTAGGGCTGTGGGGCTTCGAGCCGACGGACAGAAGATCAGCAGAAGAACCTCCAGTGGGCCTCGGGGACTCATCCCCAATGGCAGGAAGCCAATCTGGCTCTCTCTGATCGGCAGCGGCTCTCCAGGGTCTCAGGCAGAGAAAGGGCATCCCCTACTGGAGTTCGATGCCTCCCAAATCTGCTCCGAGACCTGCAAGGCTCTCGGTTCCTGCAGGCAGTTCCTTTAATGGAGAAGGGAGGGAAAGGGGGAAGAGCCCTGTTCTTTCACCTCCTGGTAGTAAGTCAAGGCCAAGGTGTAGTCCCCATTGGTCTGGGCTTCGCGAGCGAACAGCCGGAGGTGCTCAGAGGTGTTGTAGGTGGGAGGAGGCGGGCTGGGGCGTTGCTGGGTCAGGACCTGCCCGAGAAACACACGGTACATTTTTTTTAAATTACTGATTTTAACCTGAATGCATTGTATTGTATTTTATTATTATTTACCTTGTAAGCCGCCTTGAGTTCCCATCAAACAGAGAGGTAGCTAATGAATGTTTTAAGTAAATAAATAATCAATACACAAATTGTGTGTGTTCTAGACACCCCTGTGTCTCCCCCAACCGCAGGAACATAAGCGCACCACAGTCAATTCTCTCGTCCAGGTTTTTATCCAAACCACCTCAGCACGAGATTCTGTTACATTCTGTTATCTCCAGGGCTATTTTTGGGCAGGAACGCAGAGGATCGGAGTTCCGGCTGGCTCCCGAGTTGGCCACGCCCAGCAGGACCTCATTAGCATAATAGGCCACACCCAACAGCAGAAACTCATTAGGATTGGCTACATTAGGGGTGTGTGGCCTAACATGCAAAGGAGTTCCTGCTACAAAAAAAGGGCCCTGGGTTTTGACAACAAACAAGGTAAACAGAATAACAAGCAAAAGGTGGGTGTGGCTGGATGACCACACTTCTGGTAACATGTGCTAATGTGCTAATGAGCTGTGCTGTCAGGGGTGTGGCCCAATATGCTAACGAGTTCCTGTTGTTGGGTGTGGCCTATTATGCTAATGAGTTCCTGCTGGGCTTTTTCTACAAAAAGAGCCCTGGATCTCTGAATGTAATTGTTCCTTGTTGTTATTGTAATCTTTGAATGTTATTGTTCCCAATTTTATAGGATGTCTCAGCTATTGGTTAGTTTGATTTTGCGTAATCACATCCTACTTGGTCATTTGGCAACTGTACTTTTGTAAATTTTGTGAGTCCATTTGTACTAACTTTGTACTTGATTACAGTGTTGTACTGTTTTCAATAGAGCATTATTGCTGAATTCTTATTGGTGGAACTTTTATATTCTTACTATATAGGATTTGGGAGCCTTTGAGGTGCAGCCCACTTTCGGAGTTGAGTGTTTTAGTTACAGCACCTGATTCAAGGCCACGTGCATCTGATCCACCAGGTACACGTACAGCTCGCTCAGGAAGGCCTGCAGCTGGTCCAGGTTCTCGAAGGCCGTCGTCTTCAAGTACTTCTCTCTCACGATCTTCACCACGGCGTGCTGCAAGGAAGGCGAGAGCAGTGACGTAGGATTGGACCGGCAATGGCTCATTCACTCCAGTGTCACGTTTCACGGATGCTCCCTGGAGGGCCTGCCAACATTCGCACTGGGATGGTGGCAGAGGCCAGCCAGTTCCAAATCCAATGGCAACCGATAGAGGGTTGTTTTTAGCAGGCAGGTGGGAAGTAAGTTTTATGTGGCTGCTTGGTCTCTACCAACAGGCAGGGCCAAACATTTGGTTTGCGGCGAAACACATGTTTTAATCAATTAAATCCACGGATCACTTCGGAGACCAAAGATTCGTCGGCTCCCCATTCCCAAAACTAGTCATATCCTTTTAAATTCGGTAAAGAAACGCCTTGTTTTAAAACACTTTCTTCACCCAAAGAGTAACTAACACTTGGAATTCACTGCAACAGGAGGTGGTGGCAGCTACAAGCAAAAACAACTTCAAGAGAGGATTGGATAAACAGATGGAGCATGGGTCCATCAGTGGCTATTAGCCGTAAGGTATAGATGGAACACTCTGTCTGGGGCAAGTGATGCTCTGCCTTCTTGGGGCTTGGGGGAGTGACAGTAGGAGGGCTTATGGGGTTCTGGCCCCACTGGTGGACCTCCTGAGGGCCCCTGGGTTTTGGCCAAGTGTGACACAGAGAAGTGGACTGAATGGGCCACTAGCCTGATCCAACATGGCTTCTCTTATGTTCTTATGTCTGGGGCAGTGATGCTCTGCCTTCTTGGTGCTTGGGGGTTGACAGTGGGAGGAATTCTGGAGTTCTGGCTCCACTGGTGGACCTCCTGATGGCCCCTGGGTTTTGGCCGCTGCGTGACACAGAGTGTTGGACTGGATGGGCCATTTGGTCTGATCCAACATGGCGTCTCTGACGTACTTAAGTTCTAAAAAGTCATTGTGGGCTTCAGCCACGGATGGAAGAACTGGGACCTGGGCGACTCCCCAGAGCTCCGTGCCAATACCTTAAGTTGCTCCTTGAAAGCGAAATATTTCCCCGAGCTGTTGAGCTCGTAGTTGAGCTGGCATTTTTGGTCCTCCAGGTTCTCGGTGTCGACCGTGACGCTTTCAGCCTGCTGCCTCCCAAAGAGCTCGTGGTACTCCTCCAGGATGGTCTCGGCGATGCTGATAACCTGAGAGTGGTAATCTTCCACGGCCTTAAAAAGAAATAGAAAGATTTTGGCACACAGAGAGCAATTTGTCTGGACCTACTGTGGGAATGAACCGCACCCAGCTGATACGGCATTTCTGGCCAGGGAGGTAGCAGTAGGGATGTCCGTCGTTTCCGGAACTACCTTGAAGAAGCCAGAGAGGTGGGGGCAGAACAAAGACCTACAAGGCAGGGACAGGACTTGATATACTGTCCTCTGCAAAAACCTTTTGAATAGCAAACCTGGGAAATGCACGCAAACCTTCCAAAATAAATGCTACACCAGAGGAGAAATTGTGCCCGTTTGTGCCTATTTTATGCTGTCGCACAACTGGCTTGGTGCAGAAACTGGCCGTGGTGGGATTTCGTTTTTTTCCGCCCGCACTGAGCACACATCGCCCGTTCTGCTCAATACCTTCTTCGCTCCTGTAGTCTTTCGAGGCAGCTGAGGGCGCGGGGGGATCATTTCCTGCACCCTGCATGTGGAAGACAAATATAAAGAGCTTCTGAACTCTCTAACAAAGAACAGCCTGCAGCTTATTCCCACTAGAAACCTATGCTGGCTTTCGGGTCCCTTTTAATTCTCAGGGCTTTCCCCAAAGAAAGAGACACTGCTGGCCAAGGGTGCAGAGAAGTCACTGCTAAGGGCTTTCCCACATTCGCATTTTCCTTCCTGGTGCGTTCCTGTTTTTTACCTGTTCCACACATGTTTCGCTCCCTCTAGTGGTCGATTCGATATTACATCGGGCTACGTAAACTGCAGGTTTTTATGCCGGACACAAGCCAATGTAATATTGAATCGAGAAGATGCATAATATGTGCGGGACACACACAGACGCAATAGCCAGGACAATGAGGATGTGGAAAAGCCCTAAGATACAACCTGTCCTCCTACGAACACATATTCCGCAAGTCCCCTGAGTTCCTTGACAAGTTGGAACAAGGCAGTTCAGTCTATATATTTTAGGGACTGCACCCAGATGGAGTGGAGATAGATGGAGGTGAGAACAACACAGATTGAGCTCTTGCTTATGCAGGGAGCAGTCTGGAGGGGTTGGAGGCACCAGTGGGAAGGCCCCGGGACTCCTTCAAGACCATTCCTATCAAAGAGCTTAGGCAGGTGTTAGCAACAGGCCAATAGGAAGCGGCGTGCAGCTGCCAAGGGGTGGCCCTACTGATCCAGCCGAAAGGCACTGTTGTTGCGGAACAATTTTTGTTTATCCTCTCTACACTGCCACTGGAAACCTGGAATTGCAGGTGAGAGGCATGGGGAAGTGGCATACCTGGTCCACAAAGGCTTATCTTACTTCTGGCGTAGCCCCCCCTTCCCCCCATTGATGCAGCCCTCATCCCAGCCATTTTTGCTAATTATGTTGCCCAAGGCGGCTTCCGAAATAAAGCCGAATAACAACACCAAGCTTCGGAAGTTCTTCATCAGAATCCCAGCCTTCAAAACCCAGCCGGAGCGTAGACACAAACGGTCGAACGGCTCGAAGCAAATCTAACCGTTTTCAGGCTCAAAGGCCACAGTTTAAAAGGCCGCTAAGAGATCCACCCCTTAATTAAAATCCTGGGTGAACCAAAACATTTTGCCCCTCTGCCTAAGAGAGACCAGGTGAGTCTCAAGGGGAACGGTGTTCTGCAAGCGAGAGGTCACCACCAAAAAGGCCCCGTCTGATCCAAACGCAACTCGAGTCACTCCAAAGAACTCCCGCTCACATCGAACAAAGTCTGCACCCTATGCAGTGCCCCTTGACTCTCCAGCCCGCCCCCCCAAGCCTCCCCCATGCTCACCGATTAGCAAGTTCCTCCGGCAAACGCTTGGGCACCAAGGCTTTGTGCAGCGCAAATTCCAGCACCAGGAATGTCCCGGCATCCGCATATTGCTGCAATAGACAAAGAAGGGGGTGCACTTCAGCGGCTTCTGCCTCTGAGCCTCTGCTGCTGTGTGTGATGATGCTGGGGCCGGGGTTCATTTACAAAAAAAAATGGAGGACACCCTCCAACCCCCACCCCCGCAACCTTTTTGATGCGGAAAAAACAAAGCTGCAAGGCGGCTGCATCCTGCACATGCTCAGAGGCACTGTTATTCACTCCGAGCTTTCATGTGACCCCAAGGGCTGAGGGCCAGAAGTCTCCAATTAAGCCCCATATAGTTTGGGGAGCGTATTTACCTGCCCTTCCACGTTCTGACACAACGACATGGCGGCTTCGACGGCGATCTCGGACCCTTGCACTTTCACAATAGTGGACAGCTGAAAGGGGGCAGAAAACAGGACGGTTCTGCTCTGCTGAGACCACAACTACGTCAATCACCAAGTTCCGGGATTGAGACCCCCCCAAATCAAATTGATTTCTGCTGCTCGCTCTCTGTGGCAACCAGAGGTGGGCAGACGGGGCAGTGAGCTGTGCCTGGATTAGCACACCAAGGCCCCACAGATTTTAAGCACCCTGGGCACGGTTAAAATTTGTGTCTTTGCTGACTGGCAAAGTCTTGGGTGTGATATCACACTGAGGTTCAGGTTTCTGAGGTTCAGCACACCCTAGGACCTCTCTTGGCTCTAGATTCCTGAGGTTCAGCACACTCAATGAAATTGCTGAGCAGTCGGGTTAGAACGGATAAAAGGACATCCTTCTTCACCCAAAGAGCAATTAACACGTGGAATTCATTGCCACAGGAGGTGGTGGCAGCTACAAGCATGGACCGCTTCAAGAGGAAATTAGATAAGCATATGGAGCAAAGGTCCACTGGTGGCTCTTAGCCACAAGGGATAGATCGAGACTCTCGGTCTGGGGCAAGTGACGCTCTGTATTGGTGCTTGGGGGGGGGCAACAGTGGGAGGACTTCTAGTGTCCTGGCCCCACTGCTGGACCTCCTGATGGCACCTGGTATTTTTGGCCACTGTGTGACAGAGTGTGTGACTGGATGGGCCATTGGCCTGACCCAACATGGGCTTCTCTGATGTTCTGTTCTAGAGCCAGGAGAGGTTTAAGGTGCTGGGTTTTTGCCCTGCCTGGAACATAAATATTCAAGCGAGTCAAGCTCAGAGGAATACCACAGAATACCAGCTTCTGGAGACAAAGAATGGGGGAGACTTTGGCCTCTGGGCCTTGCTAGAGGCCCTTCTGGAAATATCTAGCAGAGCAGTGTGGGAAATAGATGGTTGGACGAGACTGGCCCGATCCAGCAGGGCTTTTCCTACCTCCTTCCAAATTTGGCTAATCTCCCCTGCTCCTCCTACTCGCTAGGGAAGATTAATGAAGGTGATAAAAGACCAGAAATCAGTGACAAGTGTCCTTCCCTATGGCACGACTTTTGTTCTTGAACCACAAAGGCTCTCTCTTTCTGTTATGTATTGGGACTGGAACATTCCAGGACTGTTTTTACCAGAGACTGTCTGAGCTTGGAGCTCTAGAACAATAGTCCACCAGGACTCTGGAGATGGCCAATGAGGAATTAACGGTTCTGACAATGGCCTGTCGTTGGTAGTTTGGGGAAGTGGGCGGTGTTGCCCTCGGTCCTTGCATTGTTCTGGCTGGATCACTAAGACGCCTAGGATCCATTAGAAGCTTTGTTAGCGGCATACTTGAGCCTGAACATTTACTGAGATCAGCGTCCTATCTGAATGTACTGTCTTTCATGACTTGTTGTAAAAAGCACTTTATGAACAAGAGAACTTTTGTACTACTCTGACATTTCCCGAGGAAGATCCAATTTTGAAACGTTGTTATGTAATCCGGAGACGACGTTGACGATGTACCTTTGCACTAGGATTTTCTTCTGATTTGTAGGAACTGATTTACTGCCTTGTAGTGCTTCCGGACTGTAATACATAGTAAGCGTTTTCTTTGCAGGTCTTGTTGACTGCTTGATTTGTGGGTCAGACACTCACAACTGTCTTCTTTACACTTCTCTGAATCACTAATAAAGCAGAGCTGATCACTAAGCTTGGGGTCGGACCATCCACGGAACCCAGCATTTAACACTTTCCCGAGAGGAGAGAGAAAGGGAAAAGGAGAAAACCAGCCCTTCTCACCTCTCCTGCCTTGGGGTGCGTCAAGGCTGAGCGGGTGAGCAGCTCTTGACGAGTGGGGAGCCACCGCAGCCAGAGAAAAAACAGGTTGCTTACCTGTGACTGGTGATCTTCGAGTGGTCATCTGTGCATTCACACCATGGGATCTAGTGCGCACGTGCTCTATCCAGCGCATGCGCACTAGATCCCATGGTGTGAAGCACAGAGACCACGTCGAAGATCAGCCGTCGCTGCTGGGCCTGGTAACACCGTAACCTGCTGACCACTGGAAAGTATCGCCGGGCTGTTCCCCCATCCGGTTTGGTCACTATCCGGGGTGGCATGGAGACGACCAGGAAGATCGGGAGCACAAGCTCGCTGTCACACCTTGTACCCAAGCGTCCCCAAACAATTATTTCGCCGCAAACCCATAGGTGACTTCCGCCCTTTGCCGCAGTCCTGACCTTTCTCACAACGTTCTCCCGACCCGGTTTCTCGTCCTTCATATTCTTCCCCACAACTTTGGCATGCGGTCCCGCTGCCCCAAACCTGTTGCCAGCCAAGTGGTGGCCTTCGCGGAAGAGGCTGGCAGAGCACTTCGTCTGAAAGGAAGACAACAGACAGGGAATCACAGCAATGGAGGCCTGGCAGATAACCAACACAAGTACGGCAAACTCGGGAAGCATTGCTCTGCAGAAGGGGGAAGCGGTTGTCCTCGGGGATATGGCCTACAGCACCCAAGGATCATTTCACAACCCATGAATGCATGAGGAAGAAGAAGAAGAGATCGGATTTATACCCCGCCCTTCACTACCCGAAGGAGTCTCAGAGTGGCTTACAATCTCCTTTCCCTTCCCTTCCCCACAACAGACACCCTGGGAGCACTGTTCCCTCTAAGCTGAGTTAGTGTGAGCTAGCTCACAGTTTTTTAGCCTCCAGCTCCCACATTTTTGTCTTAGCTCAGGAAGGAGGGCTCCAGAGCAAACTACTTTACGCAGCAGCCAAATGGCTCGCTCACAACTTTAATGCCAGTTGCTCACAAAGTACCATTTTTGCTCACAAGATTCCACAGCGTAGAGGGAGCATTGCCTGTGAGGTCGGTGGGGCTGAGAGAGCTCTTTCAAGAACTGCCCTTGATAGAACAGCTCTGAGAGAACTTGTAACTGACCCAAGGTCACACCAGCAGCTGCATGTGGAGGAGGAGTGGGGAATCAAACCTGTTTCTCCCAAATTAGCAGTGCTGCTAGTGCCTTGAATTCGTCCTTTGCAAACTGACACTCCTTCAGAAGATACTCCATCATCCTCAGTGAGCAAAATCATAACACTGGGAGAAGGAGTCAAGAAGTATAGGGGAGCCCTTATCTTAACAAAACAAAGGCATTCTAGTTCAAGTCTAACTTTGGGGGAAAGGGACTCTCAGAAACGTGGAAAATAGCTAGTTCAAGTCTAACTTTTGGGGGAAGAGAGAAACGTGGAGAATAGCTAGTTCAAGTCTAACTTTGGGGGGACTAACAGAAATGTGGAGAATAGCTAGTTCAAGTCTAACTTTGAGGAAAGGGATTCTCAGAAACGTGGAGAATAGCTAGTTCAAGTCTAACTTTTGGGGGAAGAGACTCTTGGAAACGTGGAGAATAGCTCGTGGTAATTAAAAGCTGTGTGGGGTTGTGGTGTAGGGAGATCGTTGCCACCCAGTGATCCCCCAGAGTAAAGACCAATGTAGAGATGAACACTCAGGGTGGAGACGGACAAGCTCGAACCTGTTTCCCCATCCCATCCCCGGGGAGTTCCACCTTGCACCCTACGGGACAACTCTGCACAGCGCGGGTTCCTACCTACCCTATCATACACATCGCTTTCATAGTAGGGCACGACCCGGAACGCGCCCCGGATGCTCGTCACCCCCGGGTACAGCAAGGGCAGCATGTTGACGTAAGCCACCCCGTGGAAAGAAATTGACTCTTCCTCTCCTCCGGCGCCGCCGGCGCTGCCACCACCTCCCTAGAACAGAGCGATAGATTTAGACGTCACGTTTCTTCCCTTTCCCGCCATCCTAAAGACAGATGCCAACAAGAAATTTCCCCCATCCCTAGCAAAAACAAACTTGCTGGGGCGCGGAGGGGGGGGGACCTAGCATACCAGAGACAGATTGTATCCTCACCTGCACATGCAACAAGCCCCACCCCTTGCTCCCAGCAGCCCTCAGTCAGAGCAAGAAGCAGCCAGGTAAGTTGCAGAGCTCCCCCCGGCCCAAAACAGTCCAGTGGCACCTTTAAGACCAAGTTTTATTCAGGTACAAGCACTCCCTCCTCTGCCAGGACAGATCTACACGTTCCTCCCCCCCTCCAATAGCTAGCAATCCAAAACAGTACAGTGGAGCCTGAGTGGTGGGTGTTGCCTTCTGACACACGTCTGGCGATGTCAGGGGGTGTGTCATATGCAAATAAGTCATGCTAATGACTTGTGCTAATGATCTCCTGCACCTCTTTTTCTACGAAATGACCCCTGATTACAACTGCTCCCTTTTCCCATGCCCACCACTCCCGCCCGGCCACAAACATTATCA